ATGTTCATCCTGAAACTTTTTCACAAACTGGAGAAGCGACCATGAGCTTCACGGCAGAACTAGAGCAGTTATTTTTAGACGTGCAAATTACACTAAACCTGAAGTGATCAGACCCTAGTTAACTTTTCGAAGCGTCTTTATCAGGCTTGGAAAGTACTAAGTAAGCAAAATATTTGCTCTCAGAGATACTGTTTATCTTCACTGTAACCTTGCGGATGCTTTAAAGGCAACAATTTCGCCTTTTTTTTTCTAATGTCTTTTTAGCGGATTCAACCTGAACACTTCTAACTTTAAACAGATAGTACTTGGAATAAAAGAGGTTGGCGTTGCTTTGAACAGCCTGTATATCTTTTAGCTTATTTAAATAACGTAGAAATGTTGCAGTAGTTTTCAATAAAACGAATAGGTAAAGATGGATGGCTAGCTTATCTGCGTGCCCTACCAATCTATAGTATTGCACCATCAAGTGAAAATTGGTAAATAGTGTTCACACTGGGATCAATTTTATGCCAGTCTTTAAAAGATATTAGAGTATGGAACCTTCACTTTATTTATTCGGAGCTTCCATTCTCAAATTGTATTTCGAAAAGGATGAGCTTGTTCTTTACGATAAGGTGCCTCTTTTCAGGAAAAAATATTCTATAATCCATCTTCCAATGATCTATGCTCAAAAGATCAGCATTTTAGGAAGTCACAGCAAAGTCAGTGCATTTCGAGGAGCCAAGTTCCGCGACCGCATCACCATCAAAAAGCTCGACCACATCTCGCAGCTCTGGCTCGTCGCAATCCTCGTCTAATATGTCGAAATCTAGCAGTTCCCATTCATCTTCAAAAACAATGAATAGCAGTGATTCCAGTTCTTCTAAGGTAAGTTCAATTGCAGGATCTCCTCGTCCTCCGTGAGAAACAGGAATTTAAAAGCAAAAGTTTGCTCTTTTGCAGTCGGCTACAATTAGTGATTTGACTTCCGGTGCATCTGACACTTCTGGATCTTCAACAATGCGAGAAACTCCAGTACCAGCGAAAAACACTAAAACTAGAAAGAGTTTGGAGATTAGTACCAGAAGCAGGCGAGGATCGAGGGATCGAAAAGTTCAGGAAGACCCACGCTTTGATGATTCTGAATCTGACAGCGAACGAAGCACGATCAGTGAAGATACTAGTAACAGGGATGGTGATCTGAAAAGGGCTAACTTTAAAAAAACAATGAAAGTAAAAGATGAAACAAGTAAGCGAAAAACCTCTATTCCTGCGTCAAACGCTGGCCAGATAGGAAGCAACTCCCGCGCAATGCACCATCACAATCCACAAATCCCTGGAAGACGAAGGTCTAGCGATCAAGACAGACCATCCGGCGTTGCTGTCGTAACACAGAAAAAGAAAGAGAGTTATCATTCAAATAAACAGAGGCTGCCCATAAAAGTTGTTCTGGCGGAGGATAGCACACAAACTGAAGAATTTCTCCAAACCAAAAGCCTACCAGGTAAATGTTGCAGCATTAGATCCAGAACCTTTGTATAGGTAATGCTGAACTAAGGCTTGCAGTAGCTTTACATCATTCGTTACGGAAAATCTTGATTTGTATTTGAATTAGCCTAGATCAAAATCTTTAGACCGTCTAACGAATTTACGTTTGGAAGCACATAATACGTTGCTTTACTCGATTTTTGGTTTTCTGGTAAAAATGTGGAAGAAATGAAAATGCAAAAGAAATTTCGCTGACTAAATTGTCCTTAGCAGCAGGAATAAGGATTTTTGGTTGAGCTAGCGCACAAGTTCCAAATTATTCCCAATGTCTTTGTGATGCTGCTGATGACCTCAAATTATAGTGAAAATCATATAAATACCGATTATATCTTGTAAATTTTGTTGGAAGATGTGAAATGGTAGGAGCACGTTTGTAAAACGGAGCAGGAAAGAGGAAGAGTAGACAAAGAACTTAGGATTCCTAGTGCTACTTTCAAAAATGTGTCAACGTCACTAATTTTTCATCTTTTAGAGTATTGCTCTTCAAATCTTCACCATGTTACAAGTGATGTTCTCAAAACACATCTTCAACTCTTGAAGGAATTCAATCGTATGGAATTTTCGTCGCTGCAAGAGTGGAACGCTATCCTGGATGATATACGCCAAAAGTACGAAGGTCCCTCAACGAAGAGACTTGAAGAAGTGCTGGAGAAACGAGTCAAAGGGTTGAGTGCGGATACGTTGAGGGACTCTTTGCCGTTGTAAACAACCATATTAAACAAATTTTTCATTCTGTATCTACATATATAACCACAAAGTAGGAATGACAGAGCAAATAGGCTTAAGTAGCGTTCTGAAGCTATTCGGAATGTTGTGGAATGTCTTCTTGCAACGGAGACTTCAGAATTGTGTTTTTGGACGAGTTTCCATCCATTTTTTCAGAGCAGGAATTGAAGTGACCTTTGTATAATGCTCCTCAATCTAAACGACAAGAATATGACCTACAAACTTTACCAGGACATCCTGTCCATTAAGCACTAACCTCGGGAAAGCCTTCGGTGTACTCTGGAAATACGGTACGCATTGTATAGATATGCTCAGCAAGGATAAGATCAGCATAGGTGAGTTCGTTCCCAGCAAGGAAGCCTCCAAATATTCCTAATGATTATATTGAAATAATGAAAAATAACTAGGAAGGTCACCTGAGCTACTCTTTTTAAGGTAAT